GTGGGGGCCAACGCAGTCTCGTGGCAGCTCACGACGCTTTGGGCGGACCCGACGTCGCGCAAGCTCGGGATCGACTGGATCACGCGGGCTCGCATGCACAACACGGACGCGATGCTGCTGCAATATGGCTTTCCGTCCAACGACGTCACGATCCTCGACTTTGATATGAAGGAGCTCGAGAACGAGACGTTCGAGTACGTGTGGCGCGATCAGCTCGTGATCGACCACCCGCACGATCTTGTTCTGGATGTGATGCGGTACCGACTCGACCAGACGATGCAGGGCACGCAGTGGCGCAGCCCTGACTCGATTGCACTGGAAAAAGACGTGCGTCAAAACTCAGATGTGGCCACCTCGACTCACCAGATTGTTGTGGAGTCTAGATCGTACAGGAAATTGGCCACACGCGGTACCAGCGGACGCTGCGCGGGTCACTGGAGCGGCCAGTCGAGTACATGAACTTTATCTGGCGCGAGTTTCACTTGCCAGAACGCACGATCATTGTGGGCCAAAACATTACAGACGACGTCACGCTCGGTGCGAGTCCGCAGTCGCGCTACATGATGTTCTGGTACGTCTCAAACGGTTGTTGCCAATCTAGAATCTAATATTCGGCGGCTAGGTACGTGCTGGACCGTGTCAACGACTTCCAGACCAAGCTCCGTGTGCTTGCGGTCTCGTCGCACTACTTTAACGCGCGCGGGTATGTCTCGCGTGACGACGAATTTGCGCTGATCGGGTACAAGCCGACGGGCGCCGTCGAAAACACGGAGCTCGCGCGTTTCAAGTACCACGTCTCGCGCATGTACACGCGCACGTCGGGCATGTTTGAGCGCGACCTCGATAGTTACATCGCGACCACGCTCGCATGACAACATTGTCGCCTACTAGTATATTTTTGTAGCGTTTTCTATAATTTTTGGTAACGTTATTTGCGCCTTTTTCCGAGTTGGTCGAGTTAATGTGCACCGTGATGTTGCAACAGGGGTAGGGTTCACGGGTTGGCGACCGGAAGATGACGAGCACCAACCTCGTTCCTGCACGGCCAATCCGGATCAGTTGCAAGTAGCTATTGAATCAGTCGGCGGTGGCCAGCGCGCGCTGCCCACACGTGCGGTGGAGATGCAGCGGCTCGGTGGGACTTGCCGTTCCGAGCTGCGTGCATACATGTACCCGACAACACGGCATGCGTGACCACAGAAACAGAGCCGACCGTCAGTCATTCAAGCGAGTCTGGCTCCGACGTCTCTGTCATTTGAGAGAGAAACGCTAGCTGCGGCCACCTTTGGTGGAAGCGCCTTATCCACATGTGGGGGCGAGGACGACTGCCTCAAACCTACATACGAGAGCACGTCCAAACCAACGAAATCGATTGGTGCATCTTGGTGGACCAAAGCCGCGTTGACGCTACGTCGTCACGGTATCAGTCTCGACTGGTACATGTAGCCCATGTTGCCGTGTGAACTCTTGCGCTCGAATGGGCAAGCGGTGGGTGTTTTTAACACCATTTCATGTCCTATATTATTTACGAATCGTTTCGGTAAAACACACAAATGGTGTACATCTCGAACACCATTTCGGTGTGTCGGTTAGAAAAACCCGTGACAAAGCGTGCGTAATCGGGCCAGATTCCTTGCCGGTGAGGATGAAGGTACTGGCCGAGGGCGACCTCCGGAAGCGCTGCGCGACGCTGCCCATGATGCGCCGGCGCTACTGCATGCTGCTGCTCGATGACAGCAATAGCGCCAAGCTCAAGGTGCTCCTGCGCTCGTACAAGAGCAAGGCCGAGCGTGACGGCAGCGCCGACAGCTTTGTGTCGTCGCACGTGGTCAAGTGCATTGGCGAGTGGACGGGCAAAGGGAATCTGCATACATATCCGCATGCGTTTGTGGTCGAGACGGCGCAGAGCAAGCTCTTCCACTGCTCGGCGCCGTCCAGCGAGGCCAAGGCGAGCTGGATGCACGCGATCCCGTTTGCCGAAGATGGCCTGTACGCGCTCGTCGGGCCCGGCGTCACGCCCATTCTCTCGGCCTCGTCCCAAGACGACGTGCCCACGCCCAACGACGCGCCGATGCCAGCGTCCTTCCACGAGTCGACGACCAACGTCCGCGAGTCGACGGCCAACGTCCGCGCGTCCCAAGCTGCGCGCCCGCCACCTCGTACGTCGTGTGCCCGTCGTAGCTAGCCCGTGTGTAAAGCATCATGTAGCTTCGCGCGAGTCGTCGACTCGTCCAGAGAGCAGCAATCTCGAGCGGCCAGTGAAAGCGCGGCCACCGAGCGTAAAGGACGCCTTGTTTCAGCGCAAGGCCAAGCAGACAACGAAGCGGGACCTTGTCGCCGACCTCGAGATCGAAAGCGACGAGGAGGGTGCTGCGCCGGTACCCGCGACCGATCCCTATCTCTGGACGATGTCTCACGGACGACGGCGAGTAGGAGAGCGTGCTGCTCGAGCCGTCGCTGCTTGGGCCCAAGATCGACCCTTACGAAGTCGACGTGCACATTGGCTATGTGCCGCCCGCGCCCATGAAGCTGCAGTTTGAGGTCGACCCGCAGGCCACGGCGATGACGTCCGTGGCGCCGTCCAACGACAGCGACGAGGATGAGATCGTACCGATGGATCCTGATTTGTACGCGCGCATTTCGCAGCTGCGTATGGACGAAGCCAAGGAAGCAACGCGCCGACCAAAAGACGAGGCGCGACTTCGGCGGAATGAGGCCGAGCCCCGGGTGGCCCGCAAGGTCAAAGCCAAGAAGCACAAGAAAAGAGGGGCGGACGAGAGCAGTCGCGATCCGCACCACCACCACCACAGTAGCAGTAGCACGAGCCAACCTACGTTGACGTCCAAGCGAGACAAGTCGCGTCGCGAGGCGTCGCCGAGTCCGCCGGCGCCCCGTCGCGCCCCGCCACTGGTGAGGATTCGGGTTGATGGGCGGTTGGATGACTGATGTACCGCTTGTAGCCGGCGGACGATGCACCACAGCCGCATGCTGTACGACCAGCGCCCTTGCCGAAAGGACCGGCGCTGGCGCTGCCCGACATTGAGGGGTTTTAAGTCGAACAAGCATGTCGTTCAATACTCAAGTTGAACGTTTTTCTTGCTTGGAGGGAGATTGTATTTGTGCTGGCGACTGACGAGGGCTAGGTCACCACCAGTCGTATCGCCGGGATAAAGCGTGCAGAGCTGTCGAGCTCCTTGGTGCTATTGCAAGTAAAACCAGCGACTTGCTGGGGATCAAACCCAGCTCTACTTGGAGATGAACTACAAACTACATGTACTATCGACAAGGCCATTTTCAAACTGCCTTTTCCGAGCCAGGTAAAAACCAATGTACCGACTCGTAGTACAAGGGATTTTGTTCAGTTTGTGTGTATACACGTGGGATTTGATGCAACGAACGGAGGCACTCGACACCTCGAGCAGCAGCGTGGTGCTGCCCGCTTTGCGACCAAGTGCGACCTTGCACGAGGCGGATGATGGATCGTCCAACGTGCTCGTCGCGTCGATGCTTGTTGCGCTTCTCGCGTTGCTCGTCGTAGCTGCGCTCCTCGTCCGCCGACGCCGCCGACAACGCACCCGCGCGGCAAGTGTCAAGTGTCTCGACCTGCCGTACGGTTTGAACCTGCCCGTGCTCTCGCCGCCGCGCCAAGCGTCTTCATTGGAGATGTACGAGTGGGTCGGCAGCACTGCGTCGCCCATGCTCGCCATCCCCGAGCACGTCCTTTGCAGCATGAACGACCGCCTCGCGCCGTTGTGATCCATGCAAAATGGACGTGGCAGCACACGGTCGAAGCACGGATATACAGACGACGTCGTAGTCGATACATATTACATGGGACTAATCTCGATATCTATAAACATAGTGCGGATTCTTGACGCACTGACAAAGACTTGGCGACAACAACCAATCATCAGGTTCTCGTACTAGAGTGCTGCCAAACATGAATGTCGTTGGCGTTGGTGCAAGTGTCTCGGTACTACTGTGCTGTCTGGGCCGTGCCTGCAGAGGTGCCATCGAGAGGGCTCATTGAGCTCGTCTCTCGTCCCCATGGGATACCTGTGTTCTTTTGAAAGGTTTAGAGCTGGGGATCTGTGTTTATTAGATCGTTAAATCAAACGCAAGCGAAGCTACGACGACGCACTCCGTGACGGCCTTGAAACCCCGTGATCTGGAGCAAAGCTGCCGAGGAGGTCGTCTGTCAGCCGCGGTGCAGGATCAAGTCAACAGTACTAGGAGTTCGCGCGGTTGTTGTTGAAACGAGCTATTGCATGTAACTACAAATATATGGTGGACTACCTAATGCGCTCGTGAAGCGTGGTCGGTGCGTCAAGCGAGGAGCGTTAATGGCCGTGATTTGGGAACCAGGGACAAGGTAGCGCGCGCACCAAGGGTCGTCTCGAAGGGCGTTCTGGGAGCTCGGGCGGTCGCACCATTCGATGCCACACTCTGCACAAAACGTCATATGACGACTACATTCAAGACAGAATATATATGTCCATCGGTGTGTCGCGATCCCTCGCCGCCGCCGTGTGGTTGCTGCGCGCAGCGCGTGCCACGTCAATTGACGTTGAACGCGTTTAAGGTTGCGAGAACGCGTTTAAACACCTCCAAACGTCGTGTTGTGATTGGTCGGCGAAAATACCGAGCAGCGGGGGCCCAGTCTTGACTTTGCACCATGTTCAGCTACCTCAGCGAGACGCTCAACATCAAGAACCTCGGCGAGCTCATTGCGCCGACGCTGACGCCCGAGCAGCAGCTGCACCAGGCCATCAGCGACGGCCTCCCCGAGAAGGTCCGCCACCTCCTCGACGACGTCAAGGTCAGCGTCAACGCGCGCACGCCCGAAGGCTCGTACCCGATCCACTCGGCTGCGTACGCCGGGCGCGTCGACATCTTTAACCTCCTCCTCGAGCGCGGCGCCGACATTACGACGCTGGGGCCGCGCGGCAACACGCCGCTGCACCTCGCCTGCGCCCAAGGCCACTTTGAGCTGGCCAAGCTCCTCGTCGGCCGCGGGGCCAACGTCGCCCAGCGCAACCAGAGCGGCCGCACGTCGTACGATGTGGCCAAGGGCGACAGTTTGCGCCAATTTTTGCTCCCGCTGCAGTTCCAGCACGAAGACCCGACCGAGCGCGCGGCCGCGGTGCAGCAAGCCCACCAAATGGGCTTGACGGGGTTCCACGACCCGACGATGCCGCAGGCTGCGATCGCGCCGCCGCCGACGAGCATTCCGTATGGGTCGGCGCCGCCCATGGGGGGCGGGTACCAAGACGCACCGATGGCGTCCGACCCGCACGCAGCATTGTACGCACCGCCGACGCACAGTGCGATTCCGCGCGGCGCCGCAGCCCGCCGGGACCCCAAGGTCACCCGACCTATTGCAGCCGACGGGTTTGGCTCGAGCGTTGGCAACGCTGAGCTCACTGCGTTTTACGGCAACACGGTCTCGATCAACCAAGCGGTGCCGCCGCCGCCCGTCATGGCGGGACCGCCGTCGCACCCGATGACGGCCGCGTCGACACTGGCCCCGGCCCCCGCACCGCGCAAGAGCGTGCCACCCCAGTTCAAGATCTTCAACCCCAAGCTCGCCCAGCAAAACCACAGCCAAGACGGTGTCGGGCGCCCGCAGTCGGCCGGCAACCAGCACCCGGAACCTATGACGTCGGCGGCGTCGTTTGGTCCGAGCTCGGGCCCGTCGGCCATGGGCCAGGCGTCGTATGCGCAGCAGTCGTATGCGCCATACCACGCGGCGCCCACGTACAATACGTCATCGTTTGGCCAGCACCAGCAACCTGCGTTCCCGCCGTCGCCCGATGGCCGCTACGTGCAAGAAGAGTCGGTGGACTTTTCGGCCCACACGAGCGCACTGCAGTAACGTTAGTAGCTTAGGAATATAATCAATCGAGTATCAGCGAGTTGTATGTAGGACAACACAGCGTGTGCCTGTAGAAGCAACGTATAGAGTGCAAAGCCGTGCAGGAATCGAAGCGTCAAGTCGACTGGCGTATACGTCTCTGGGTGCAGCAGAGGCGCACGCCAGCCACCTCGTGTTGTCCGACGATGACGTGCTGCAGTGCCCGTCAAGGCTCCCGTCTGCCCGTCAGCTCGTCGACTCAAACGTACATGCAACCGATGTACTACACTATGAAGGGAATCGCGCAGTTAACGATGCCCATGTCGCTCCAAGCGACGCTTGGCTGTGGAAGTACACTGTAGCCGACTGGATACTTCAACGTCCGTCGAATCTGGTGGGTGCCAGATCATTTTTGTGGTCGTAACTCTGGCCAGGATCTCAGACCACGGGCGTTGTGCACCTGGAAAAGCCAGGACGGACGGAGATACGAGCTACTTGGTGTACTTGAAGCAATGTTGAAGCCCGCGGTTAATGCCACATTGCAGCGCGTCGCAACACCAAGTCCGTCGGCGGTCGGCGGTCGATCGTGCGCGGTTTCCACTAAAGAAGAGAAGAAGAGAGGCGGCAAGAGCCCTGTGCTGCATGATGACGAGCACGAGGTCGGCCGACGCCGTGACGAAGGCCGCGAAAGCCAGCGCTCGACGAACGCTGGGATCCCGTCGCAGGTGATATCGCCGGTCGTGATTGGGTGACGCCAGTGCCATCTGGCGATTCGATTCGACGCGGCCAGTTTGCAGTTTGCCTTTTGGACGCTGGAAAGCAGCATGTTGACAGCCCCGTCGTTGGTGCTCCTCCTCGCGGGCGCGGCGGCCGCGACCAACTCGACCTTTGTCTTCAAGGTGGACATGACCGTGCAGGGCGTCCGCGCCAGCCGCAACCAAGACAACGTGCTCATCCCGTGCCAGAGCAACGTCTGCGTGCCGTCGGGCGGCGCGAGCTTCGAGTTTTGCCGAACAGCGTGCAACTCGGAGGCGGGCCAGGCCGACTGCGCGTCCAAGTGCACGTGCAACGGCACAAAGCCCGGCTTCATGTGCGCCGGCGTCTGCAACGCGGCCAAGACGGCCGACGAGTGCGGATCGCCCGTCTTTCAAAAATGCATTGGCCAAGACCTCGTGTGCGACCGGACACCGCCGTCGCCAGCGCCGAGTCCGTCGTCGACGCCAGCGCCCAGCTCGTCGCCCAACCCAACGCCGAGCCCATCTTCCAACCCGACACCTAGTCCGACACCGTCGCCCAGTTCATCGCCTTACCCGACGCCAAGCCCGACCTCCAACCCGACGCCAAGCCCTTCGTCTAGCCCTTCACCGAGTCCTTCGCCGAGTCCATCTTCGTCGCCTAGTCCGGCGCCGACGCAGCGCGTGCGCTTTGTCAAGCTCCAGAGCCCGGGCGAGGCCCACTTGATCGAGTACTACACGGGCCTGTACTTTGGCGCTGGTCAAAACAACGCGAATGACGCGTTCGACTGGGACCCGTCGGTCGGGTCGATTCGCTCGGTGAGCGGCAACGCGTGCCTCGACGCGTTTCTTGCGGATGACAAGAAGTTCTACCTGCACACGTACCCGTGCGACGCGGCCAACCCGAACCAGTGGTGGATCTACGACGATGGCGCGCGCCAAGTGCGCCACAAGACCCACAGCAACATGTGCCTCGACGCCGACCCGTCCGACGCCGACAAGAAGGTGCAAATGTACACTTGCGCCCAAGGCAACGCGCACCAGTACTTTGAGATGCGCCCGATCTTGTCGCGTGGACAGTAATGCATAACCTTTTTTTCTATTTCGTACAAGTTGTACACATTGTGAGTCCGATTGAAACCGTCGACATGAGCCGTGGCAAGCGGCGCAACAAGCCCAAGCGCCTTGGAGGACCCGACCGCGGCGACGAGGCCAACATCAAAGACACCGACAACGACGAGGACGCGGCTGCCGACGGCAGTCCACCAAGTGGGGCCGCCAATGGCGCCAGTAGTACAGACACGGCGCTCTCCTCCGAGGCCCAACAACCCACCGGCACGGCCGACGCAGAAACGTCGTCCAGTCCCGCAGAGCCACCAATGGCTACATCACCGGCCACAGATCCCTCCCCACCGGCCAGAATCGATGATGCAACGACGTCAGCGATCGACGTGCACCCGCCGTCTACTAGTATATCAGAAACCACCACATCAAAGTCCACATCAGTGGCCAGATCAGAAGCTAGATCAGAGACCACATCACAAGCCAGATCAGAGAACGCCACACCCATGTCCGAGACACCAGTGTCGGCTATCCCAGTAACGCCAGTGGTCCAGGCGTCTGCAGTCTCTGGGGCCACCACTGTGGACAGTGCGACAGCTGTAGCCGCCGAGAAAAGGACTCTTTCCAATACTGACGTGGCTGACCGCTCGCGTCGACTCCTAACGCGGCCCGAAGCCGAGCGCATCGTCCAGCACCTCGTCTTTGGTCTGCTGAAGGCGTCCGTGCCGCTCGTATCTTTGCTCAAACCACGACCGACGCTTCAAGAGCTTGCGTTTCAACTACAGGCCGAGTGTCAGATCGGCCTGACATCAACAGACCTCCAAGCACTGCACGTCTACTTCCACGTCGCCGACACAAACGTACGTCTATACACATTGTCGATCTCACGCAAGACAATATTGTTGTTGTCGTAGATGTTTGACGCGGCGTCGTGCTTGGCCTTTGCTGCCACCAAGGTGTTTGTGGTCGAGCTCTATGAGTTTCAACTGCGCAAGGCTATTTTGGAGAAAGCGACCAAGCTCCGAGGCAAAGCCGACGTGCCTCGCACGCTTTTGCAGCTGCTTCCAGATACCACGACCTCGTTTGAGCCCGCCGATTTGAATACACTCGCCGTGGAGAAGCTCGGCCTTCCCAGCAGCCCGCACTGGGTTCTCCACTGCGTTATCGGTCGCATTGCCCGTGCTGGGTTCGAAAAAGCTGCTCCCAAGACGCCACCGGCGTACCCGTTGGCCGCCTTTCGACGGCACCTGGGGCAGTTTGTTGCACGCGCGGCGTTCGATCCCGACTCGGTTGAAGGGGCGCTGCGGTCGCTCGTACAAGCTGACGCAGTGCAAGGGTTCCTAGCCATTGACACGGACGGCTCGGGCACGCTCTCTCTCGACGAGTGCACGACGTACCTCCAGGCGCAGCACTTTGCGGGTTTTCCACGAGGCGTTTTGCGGGATTTCATGGCGCGTTTCGATCGGGACGGCGACGGCACGTTGAACTTGGACGAGTTTTTGGCCGTGTGTCGACCGAAAGAACAGTTTGGTCTTCAGGTTATCTCCTGCTTGCGGGACACTATACCCTAACCCTACAAATCGGTGTAGGTCGTGACGCCGTTTGGCTCGTTTTACATGGCGATGCCGATGATGACGTTGGTCAAGGACCTTGTTCCTAAGCTCCACAAGCGCATGTTTTGGCTCCAGCACAACCACATGCTGGGCAACGCCGACCCGAGCACAGCAGGCAAAATGGTATTCTTTTTAAACCCTACCCCTGGGGTGGATCCAAATCTTTGTGTAGCTCGTGTCGGTGGACCGATTTGTGATTCAACGACACTTTGGGGCTCTCCCGCTTGTCTACGGCGCGAACGATACGGTGCAGTCCATCTTGATGCCGGGCGAGCTCCTCGTCGTGATGGAAACCACACCGACAGGTTTAATTCATTTGATTTTTCTGATGTTTTCGGATTGCATTCTGATATTTCCCGATAGGTCCGTCGTTGGTGTCGAAAGAAAAGTACATAGGAAAACGAGTCGCGCCTTTGCAGCGGCCGTTGGCAGCAGTCCCCGCCCCCAATGCCCCCGTAGAAGTAGAAACAACACCCGCTGCCATGGACTTGGGGGCACTGCGACGGCCGCGCCCGCCGAAACCAACGCTGTCGCTGTCGCTGCCACCGGACGTGAGCGCGTGGACGCCGCTCGACGTCAAAAAGTGGGTCATCTATGACCTCAAGCTGCCGACGCTGGCGGCAAAAGTGAGCCAAGTCGACGGCAATTCGCTCTTGGGCCTCGCGCGCACCCCGTCCGCGCTTGAGAAGACGCTCACTCATACCTTTCACATTCACTTACCGCTCCAGCGACTCCAGCTCCAGCAGGCCATCCTCCGCCTCTTGCCACCTTCTGCCACGACGACGACGCGCCAGAAACAAGCGAAGGCAAGGACGAGCTGTCGGACGAAGACCAACAGCACACCACAGCGCGAACACGAGAACCATCACGACACAGGTGCAGAGGTATTCCTTGCCGACAACGCGCCCATGGATCCTGCAGGACCAAACAACTCGGACGACCGCGGCGCAGCCAACCCGGACAACCGCAGTGTCGACGAGGAGGACGAACGCAGTGTAGTCGAGGAGGACCGGGATCTCGTCAACCCTAGCCCTTCGCCGCCCCGCGCTACATTGCGAACGGTGGGCTCAACAATAAGCACGAACGAGGAGAATGCAGAGGACGACGAGGATGAATGTCCCGACGCTCTCTTGGTACGATCTTCTTCCACGGCGGCCAAGACCGCGGGTTCAAGTCCCGATTTGGATGGATCCATGGACGAGCCGGCGCCGCGTTTTGACGGCAGCTATAGTGACGACGGCGGTAGCGACAACGACGCCTTGCCAAGCTTTGCGGCGCCGCATTCTTCGAGAAGCTCCGACTCGGACGACGAACTGCCTGTGTTTGCCCTGTAACCCAGTTTTGAACCCGGTGGCACATGCGACATGAATTTTGTTTGTTATTGTACTAGATCACGACAATCTAGTTCGTAGAGAGGTAGTAAATAGGAGAGACACACATCGTGGACGACGACAACGAAAATCAAATGGGACTCGACTAGATGAGCATCATTTTTTTCTTTGGGGAGCTCTTGGAGCGTCGTCGGGGTCGCTTCTTGCTCTCGAGGTGGAATTTATGGTTCTTGACGGCCGTCGGCGTCGCCGCCTTGATCGACACGACCTTCGGCGGCTTGCCAGTGGACTTGCCATACGAGCTCGCGCTGCCGCTGGACGACACGGGCGACGTCGCTGCCGTTGGTGGCAGCCACATGTCGGGGCAGTCGCGCGGCTTGTGCGCCCGCGCGTTGCAAATAAAGCACGTGAGCTCCTCGAGCGGTGCGCAAATGACGTCGAGGTGGCCGTCCGGCACCAGCGCCATCGTCGCCGCGCGGCGCAGCTCGTCGTTGAGGCGGGCCTGGCCCTTGGGATGAAAGATGACGCGGCCCACGTCATGGCCGAGGTCAAACGGGTCTTCGATCGAGAAGCGCCACGTGCCAAGGCCGAGGCCCCACTTGCCCATCTTGGGCAGCCCCGCGCCAGTTCGAATGCTCACAACCGTCGACTTGTAGTCAAAATCCCACGCGTAAAAGTGGAAAAACCCGGCGAGGAGTGCGCCGACCGAGTCGTGGCCGCAGCGCGACGGCATGGCCTCGGGCGTCGGGCAGGCAGCCACGAGGCTGCTCGAGGCCTCGGTTGGCAGACACGGCAGGATCGGTGTCGACCGCGTCTGGAGGTAGAAGATGACCAGCATGATCCACGCTAGGCAAAGCATCAGGTTGCGCCGTTGAAAGGTGGAAACTGCTACCGTAGGAGCTCAACGAGCCGTTCGAGGCGTCGTTGATTCCGCGCTGCTTGGCCCAGTGCTTGACGGCAAACACGAGAGGGCGCACACGCGCGTCGACTTGGCCGTACTGGCGCAAAAGCCGCGTGTTCTCCAAGGCTAGCGGGTTGCCGACCGTAACGTCAATGGCAATCTGACGCAGAGACCAGGTTCAAAGTGATCGAGAAAGTGCAATGTACCTTGCGGCGCGTGTCCCAAAACTTGAGCAGCGGCACGCGGGCGCTGTAGATGAACTGCTCGAGCTGCAGGTCGCCCGGGTGCGCGAGGAGGCCCGCGACGCTGGCGAGGATCTGGACGCGGTCATTCCAGTTGATGGCCGCGAGCTTGGCGGGGTCGTCAAAGAAGAGACCAATGTCGAGGTCGCTGCTGCCGCCGCCAAAGCCACTAGCACGCGCAACGACCATCATTAACACCGCACCGACGACGAGATTGCACTTACTTTTGCGACGAGCCAAAGGCGCGAAGACGCAAGTGCGGCCATTTCGCCTGCACGAGGCGCTGCATCGCGTCGACGGCCTCGGCCTTGAGCGCGACTTCGGCCGTCGTCGGCTCGAGGGCCTCGAGGAGGCCGATGGTCTGGATCGTGAGGCGGCGTACGCTGTTGATGGCGCCCATGGATGCGGTCAAATGGATAGAAAAGGGTGGTCACTACTGGCGGCTGCGTAGCTGGGTCATGAAGGGCGTCGGCTTCCTCTTAGCACGTCATTATCTCGTAGGATAACGACGATGAGGACCTTGGAGCAGCAAACAGAAATGGAAAATGGCATTTTTCACACACCGAATCTTGACCCAGATTCGCCGCAAGGCCATTGGCCAAAATTCACGCGAAAACAACACGCGAATCTTGTGTTTAAAACAGTCGCGCCGACGCCCATGGTGGCACGTGCGATGGGCTCCTTGGTTCCTTGTCGTGCGTGCACGAGGCGAGTCCACGGCGACGTCGCAACACGCATCCGGTGCGCAGCGAGCGGTGGCGAATGCGCGAAAACGGCCAGCGTGGATTTTCGAAGGTTTGCAGTGACAGACCAGATCAGCGAAGACCAGTTGCCGACCGTCGTCGAAGGCTCCTGGGCTTAGATTCCATGGAAGGGTCGCTACATCCGCTACGCTGGGCCTGAAGCAAGGCGCTGTTTCGAGATGCACCTGCCACCTGCATGGCAGTGTCCATAGGTTCTCTAGCTCTATCACAGAGAGCAGCTGTAAATGGTTGGGATCCCTACATCTGCAGACATACTTTCCATAGTCCTATTGAAGGCTGATTTCGTCAAAGCCTGCTGGCAAGGCCTCGAGGCCGAGCGTCCAGTATGCTGCGACTCGAAGGGCGCCTTGTCAAGCTGGTCGTTTTATACAGACGTTTTAAACAATGTTTGCAACACATGTGCCCTGTGTCGCGCTTTTGTATCCGGTAAGTTGGATACAAATCGCAAGCTTGCATCGGAGTATCCGGATACACACGCGTGCAAAAAACACGTTTTTCACGTGGGTTTTTCGGGTTAAATGGGACTGCGAACGGGGACGAAGCTTTTTTGTGCTCCAGATGGCGACACGCGTGGGTCGACAGCGCCAGTTCTGCGAGGGGACAGCATCTTCTCGCTGCGTCGTGGCTGCAAGTTGGCATTTCTCGTTTGTCGAAACGCTGCGATTTCTTTGAGTCGCGACAGAATGCCGAGCTGCGACGAATATACAATATACTGGTGTACGTGCTACTAGCACGCTCGGGTGTAGAGGCGCGGGCCACGATGCATGCATGTCTTGGTCCTCAGCGTGTCGTAGAACTGCAGACCGCAATTCACGTCCGCTGCTTTCTCACTCCAAGTGGCAAGCGCCAGGCCGTGGCGCCACGTCAAGCGACTAAAACGCGTTTTATTCCGGCTGTCGACGCCAAATGGCCACGTCACGGCCACCTGAGTTGGCGCGACGGACGGCACCTTGCCGCGCATGCTTTACACATCCTGTCGTCGCAGGTTTGGTCAATCGGTACTTTAAATTACAAGCAACTTGACTTACAGAAGCAGGTGAAAAGACCAAATTTGGTCTTTCGCCTACTTCTATGAGGCAAGTATTTAATGCAACCTTCCATTTTTGCCTGCGCGAAAGGCTTCCCGTCTGCAGGTCCACGTCTGCAACGTCGAGTGCAGTTGACGGTACTGGATCATCTCGAGACAAGCCAAAGCTGCGAGCAGCAAATGCCGATACATTGGTCGGTCGCCAAACCCGTCCTTGTCTCTGGTGCTTGCCTTGGGAGCTTTCACGAGCAGACACATTTTCCATGAAACGCGTTTGGTGCCAATGCTCTCTACTGCCTCTGCTACTGCCTCATGACTGGGCAGCGCCGTCTCGGCAATGACCTCCTCTCTTGGCGGCGGTGGGTCCTGCAGGGACGCCGTCGTCAAGTTGGACTTGCAGCGAAGCAAATAAAAATATAGAATGTAGCCATTCTGAATTGATCAACATATGTTCAAAACCGCAGTACTATTAATAGCAGTGGACAAGATTGTCTATTGCTTGATAGTACTACACACATCTAGTTACTAGAATATACACTAACAAGTAAGGTGCGGCGTGGACATGCTGAATCACCACGAGACAGCCGTCTTCTCGATGGTCTCGATGAGCTGGGACGGCAGCAGCTCGCGGCTAAAGAACGCGACGGTGCCAAACTCGGCGCTAAATTGATCGCTGTAGAGCTGTGCGAGCCAGTACCAGTACGGCTGCTCCTTGTTGGCCGTCGATAGCTGGTCGCTGACAGCGCTTCCTGTCGACGTTGACCACCACGCGCCGCTGTCCGGTGACGTCTCCGTCACCTGGGAGAGGCAGGCCGCGTACTCGTTTTTGAGACACATCATAACTTCCGCACTCGCCCGTTCCAGCACCTCGGACAGCGACCGGACGCGGTACTTGGCGTCAAACTTGGTCTCGTGACCCGGCAAGGTCGTGAATTGATGTAGGTCCAACAGATCCACCGTCGCAAAGGCAGCTTCGAGACCGTCGAGCTCGACAGTCTCCTCAAAGATGTCGTAGCGCTCGCGCAGCTGCATAGCTTGCGTGGAGAAGGCAGCGCGCCACAGCCACTGACTGCGCTCCTTGGGCCACGGCTCGTGCGCGCGCGTGTGATATGACGCAAGGTGGTCGAGCAGCGCGCGGCGCAGCGACCAGACGACCAGGAACGGGTTGTGGAGACCGAGGCCGCCGAGTTTGAGCGGCCATTGGGCCCACGCTGCTGGCAGCGTCTCGCCCAAGAGCGCCGCATGCCGCTGCGCAATGCGAGCTCGGAGAGCTGCGAGCACATCGCCGTTGGGAAAGATCTTGTGGTGGACGCGGCGCAGCGTCTCGGCGACCGCGTCGGCGTGCGTCAACCCAAAGATGGGCGAGACCGAGCCAAAGTTGCGGACAAAGAAGACCATGTACTTGTTGTAGACGTTGATCCAGCGAAAGACGGACGGCGCAACAGCGAGGCGGTCCCGGAGCTCGAGTGCGAACGCGTCGACCTTGTCGTCGAGGATGCGGACGTTCGCGTCCGACTGCAGTTCGAGCAGCCCCCAGCGAATTGGTGTCGACGGCATCGGCGCCGGTGCGGCGTGAACACCGGTGAGCGCGCTCGAGAGCACGACCGACCCGCTCTTTTCGACGTTAAACGAAAGGCCGGCGACGGCAGCCCAAGACTCCATCGAGCGCCACGCCATGGCGGCCTTGTCACCGTCTGCATCGAAGAAGATGATGTCGTCGTGGCGCCGGAAGAGGTGGATACCGGTCGTCGACCGGACGCTAAAGTCCATGACGAAGAGAAGCATCTCGGAGAGGAACATGGTCATCGCACGCCCGACCGAGAGACCGCGCTGCATAATACGAGGCGACGTCGCACCGGGAAAGCGAAGCGGCAGTTGCATGTACCGGGTAAAGATACCGCGTTGTCTCGTCGACGCCAAAGAAGCGGAGGCAGCCGAGCACCGTCGCGTGTGAGACCGATGGGCCAAAGAACGCGAGGTCGGTCGTGACGGCCGTCAGCGACTTGGGTTTGCCCTCGGGACTGAACGCCGTCTGGTACTGCGCCTCGGCGCTCAGCATGCGCAGGAGGTCGAGCTTGGACGCGCCGGCAAAACCCGACTTGCGTTGACCCGACACTTCGTCGTAGCCGCCATTGGTCGCGTCGAGCGCGGCGAGCGTAAAGACATCACGCAGCTCCTTGCGCGTGGCATCGACGGATCCGCGGGCCGGTCGTGCAGTCGGCTCGAGCGCTTGCAACAGCGTCGCCATCTCCCCACGAATCGTAGTGCCCCAGACCATACCCACGTGCTGGAAGAGCAGAAGCGAGACAGCGTCTTCCTGAAGGTGGCAGCGGTACCGACCGCTGATGCCGCGCTTGAACTGGACGGGCACGCCGTCGGCAGGCCAGCTAAACTCGGTCAGGTTGCTCAGCTCGATCGTAAGCACGTCGGCGAGCTCCTGCTGCGTCGTCGTGTTGCCTTGGACGTCGCGCAAAAAGTCGGCCACGTCGTCGGCCAAGGTCGCCGCGTCCCGCAGCAGGAGCGTCGCCGCTTTGACGACGTCGTCGCTCGAGACCTTGGCGCGCAAACGGAATGACTCGGAGAACTCGCTGAGCTCGGCACGCACGCAGCTCAGCGCATCTCGGACACGGGCCCACTTTTTCACGGCCGTACTCGGGCCGTTCGGCAAAAACGGTCGATTCGAGGTAGTCAAAGACAGCCTCTTCGGTCACACCGGGGGCTGGTGCGAAGAAGTATTGTTCGAGCTGCGCTTGTGTCTCGGCTACCGTGAGCTCGCCGACACCGCTGCTGGTCGCGTCACCCACGGCTTCCCACTCGGCATCGACGGGCGCCAGCTCTTCGGCCAACGACTCGTGCAAAAGCGCGCCGAGCAGCTTGTTGTGTCGCCAGAGCGACTGGCGTTGGTCGATCTCCTTGAGCAGCGACGATCGGTGTTGGGCCACCGCCTGCGCCGTGGTCCAGACATCACTCTTGGCAAAGTCGGCGAGCGCGCCCATGTGATCCAGTCCCGGATGCAACGGCGTCTGCACGACCTGCAAGTCCTTGACACCAGCGTAGAGCGTCTCAAGCTGAACGCGCATCGGCGCCTCGGCGTGGTTCGCCGCTGCCAGCAGCGCCGCGTAGTGCGACCGCAGACGCTGCTCGTGGGCGTTGAGCTCGCGCAGCTTGATCTTGGTCGCCGTCTGCAGCACTTGATGCTTCATCGCGCCATGGGTCGTCGACATGCTGGAGATAGTGTGCGGTGGAAAGGGCAAACTCGGAAATGCGGGCTTCAAGCATCGAGGTGATTTATCCGGATAGAAATATATCCGGATGCTGTCGTGAATAATTGTGATTTGTGGATAATTTTGTGTCGTTGGTGTGGAAAGAACTTCACTCACAGCATGGTCAATGCTTCGACTATAGTGCAATGGAATCATTTGACTTTGCAAGGGACGCAGACCTTCATTCGTTCACGGGTCATACGAGAAAAATAGTCATTGATGGTCTGCACGAGCGCGCTGCGTTGTCGGACAGCCATAGAATTTAGAGCCCACTTAGTAATAATCTCTTGGCGCCGCAGAATAAAATTTTACTAGACTCTTCGGGAATGCTGGGTTTGGACAAAAATATGTTCACCGAGCGCCGGCTTCAGGATTGTGTGTACTTCCTCGGACCGTCGCCGACAGAGCTAATGGACACGACGCCGACGACGCCGCAGAGACGATCCGCTGCATTCTGGAGTAGGAAGAAATTTTGAATGAGATAGCAATGGCATGCAGCCGCCGCAACGTGTATTCGATTGACTTCGTCTATGCTGTCGTCAATATCTCGTAAACAACAGCTAATATCAGCTGCAAGTTGCACAATTTGTACGCACTCCTAGCCATCGTACTAAAACAACACACAGTGGTTCCATTTTTTAGGCAACATGGACAAATGAAAAGGTCGCGCTGTCAGAGTGTCGAGGCGGGCGTCGGCGCGGGTGCGCTTGCGCTTGCGGTGGCGACGGTAGTAGGACCAGTCGAAAAGCGTACACTAGTCCGTCCCAGGCTTCAGCACCGTGGCGGGTGCGTTGGGATAAAACAGGGTGCACTCGTCGCAGACCGGCTCTGGCCCACGCTTGCGCAGGCTGAGGGATGTTCGTTCGTAAATGAAATCATGACAACCTTCTTCGTCGTCGCAGCCAACGGGTGCGGGACGTCGTCGAGCTGGTCGTCTTTGTCAAGCAGCTCGGCGGCGAAATAGGCCGGCGCTGTTGACATTGCAGAGACGACTTGGTTCGAGGTTGCTTGCGCCGCGCGAAAGTCGGCTGCCTTGGGCAGCGGCAGTGGGACCTTACCGGCAGCAATCGCCTTCTTTCGCGCCCGACTAGGAACATATAGTGTGAATCCGAATGAACACAAGGACATCGTACCGAGCACGTTTGTACGCGGACTTGAACTCCCGATTCGCCACGCTCCACGCCTTGTTCTTGGCCTGGAGGGCTTCCTTGTGCTTCTGGCGGTACTGCTTCGTCGTTGCTGCAATTTTCTTTGCGTTCGCTGGGCAGTACTGCCTGCTTCTTCGTGGCCAGCATTCTTGCCTTGCGGGAGGCGTAGCGCATTTTGTCCTTCATCCGCAATTTTTCCTTGTTGGCCGCTACGTACTTTTTGCAGGCGGCTCGATGGCGCGCCTTCTTCTCGTCGTCCACGGTGCTTCCTGTCATCGTGGCTTGTTGAAGAATGACACCACCAGCGCTGGCACCGCCCCGTGAGCCCGTTGGATTCGATCTCGGTATTCGGATGACAGTGAGCTGGCAGGCCGTGGTGCCCGTTGGATTCGATCTCGGTATTCGGATGACAGTGAGCTGGCACTTTCGCACATATTTCATCTAGCAATACCTCTACGAACGGTCATTCACGCTTTTTGGTCGAGTCCTATTGGTGCACGCAAAAGGACAACCTCAATACCTTCTGTCTTTCATGCATTTTTCCTTTCTCCGAACTATACCAACGTAATGGTATAATTTCATTTCGTATCTTTTAATTTATCGGTTGCAGTGCTCGCTCCAGTCGACTGCGACGGTGCACTCTCAGAAAGACTCGACTGGACTACCAATGTGGATGCCCAAGAGTACGGGATCCTGCCCCGCATAAAAACGATCTTCGACACTATGTTGCTACTGCTTCAGCAATATGCTGGTCCGCCCGCCAAATCTCGCTTTTCAAATTCCAGCCAATCATATGGCGTTCATGCTGCCAATTTTAGCCAATCCAAACGGGGATCTTTCCAAGCGGCTGGAAATTGCAATCCGCCAGCACGATGGCCAAGGCGGCAACTCCGACCCGGCTGCCACCGCACGTGGCCGCGACGATCATGCGCTTTGTGGACACTTCGACCACGCTGCTTGCGGTGCTCGATGCGCTGTCCAGTGCGAGCCCGTTCTTCATTGCGCTGCGGGCGCTGGCGACCGTCGTGCCACCGTGGATGCTTTGGCGTGTCCTCGACGTTAACGTCGCTGTGCCAGCGTCGCGCGCGCACCCCGAGCTCTTCAAGTGCGTCCTTGCTGGCCATCCGAACGTCTTTATGGACGTGTCCGACGCGCCAAAGTACGCTCGCATGCTCTTGCCCGAGGCCAAGCTCACAATGGTCGAGGACGCGTGCGACCTCGCGAAGCTCGATCGTGACCTCTTGGCGCAAGTGACCACCTTGTTTGTCTTTGATATCCGGTCGCTTCCGAATGTCGTCCAACTGCTGGCGTACATGCCACGTCTGCGCCTCGAGTTGAACGCAAGCGAGCTCGAGGACGACGCTGCTGTCGCCTTCTTGCTTGCCAACACATCGGCCAATGTGCGCTGCATGGAAATGACACTGCCGACCGAGTGGTTCAAGATGACCGAGGCGACGGCCATGTGTGTCGCGACGGTGCTCCCGACGTTGCCGTTGACAGCGTTGACGTTCAAGTGCATGCTGGCGTCCGAGGACAGCGCCAAGGGGCTCCATGACGCGCTGCAGTCGATACCGACGCTTCGCAAACTCCGATTTGAGTTTCCGAGCTCACTCGCCTGTGGGTTTGCAGCCTGCGCCGCAAGCAAGACGACCGCGTTTCCGCAGATCACGTCGTGGCACCTCGACGCACATAGAGCGTCTTCCCAATGCTTGGCTCCATGGGCCACTTGCACGACTTGCATATCGACCTCGGTTCGCCCTTGGACGACGAAGGCTTCGACGTGCTCATGACCATCGTCGAGGCGCTGCCGCTGCACTCGCTGAGCCAAATCGGACTACTCTCGAGCCGGGTGCGCGTCATTGCGTTCAAGAGCGCGCTCTCCACGCAGAGCACGGTGCGAACGCTGAGCTTGGACTTTGTATGGCTCAAGCCGGAAGGTCTCGACATCCTCGCCAGCCTCATCATGCCCCACATTGAGCACCTCGATCTCTGCTACAACTATCTGACGGACGACAACATCATGCTGCTCGTTGGATTGGTCGCGGCCTCCAACCTCCGGTCGCTTTGGCTCGCGAGCAATGATCTCTCGGTAGCAGGCAAAGAGAAGTTGCGCCGCTACGTGCTGACGTTGCCACGCGGCCCGTGCCACCTTCGGCTCGACGAAGCCGACGCCTTTGACTGGTAGTCATTGGAATCGATTGTTTTGGATTTGAGTTTGAGATTGTCTGTTGAATTAAGGAAGATCAAAAGAGCGTACATCTTGTCGGGATATCGATAGACGATAAAAGCTAGGTTAGCAAGAAAGGACTCTGCGAGAGTGCGTCGAAGTGACCCAAGACAGAAGCTCGTTATTGAGCGTTGAATACACTGGATTAGGTAAAATCGACAAATGAAAAAGCTCACGCCGTCAGAGCGTCGAGGCGGGCGTCGGCGCGGGTGCGCTTGCGCTTGCGGTGGCGACGGTAGTAGGTCCAGTCGCGGCAGAGCGTACACTGGTACGTCCCAGGCTTCAGCACCGTGTTCGTTGCCGATGTGAGCGCATTCGGCTGGAA